ATTTATTTTATTTATTTATGCATCTAAGAACTGGGGTATAGGCCAGAGGTGTGGGGGTGGGTGGGTGAGAGGATTCATTAGAGACAGAGAGGGGAACAGAACAAGCAGATTGACTGAAATACACTGCTAAGGGGAGCAGCAGGAGAGAAGGGAGAGGTCTCCTGCACCATGTGGGTTACCTCCCTGGCTGGGGTTTGAACTCCTGCTGCAGTGGCTGTGGACTGCTTCATAGTGTTGTGACTTAACCCCTTGCACCACCAGGGATGCCCCCAGAAATACATTTTTTAAAGTCAGTTTCTGGAGTATGCTTTCAAATAAATACATAGGCCCAGTTTTCTAAATGTATATTATAATACTTCATTATAAAATAAAAATAGATGTAAACAGCTACTACAATAATAGAAATTAATTTTCAGGAAAAAAAATGCATATAAATGGCTCTAGAAAAATCCAGCTGGAGACTCATGGTCTAGTCCCAACATCTAGAAATGGATAATCAATGAACATGCTCAGAAGTGTTATTCAGAGACTGGGTCTGTCTTGGGAATTCATGCCACTGAAAGCTGCTTGGGTTTCGCTGGCTGTGTGATGGGAGAGTGTTTGTAACAGTCCAAATCCATGCTGTTGTGCCATTAAACCCCTGTTATATTGTCTACTTAAGCATTTAAAATCCTATTTTCAAAGCCTTTACTAAAATGTTTTCATAAAGCAGAGATTAAGCTTTAGCATTGCTTGTTCTCCCAAAGAAGTTACAGTTTACCCTTGAATGAGGAAATATGAAGGGGTACCAATCCCTAACCCCTCATCATCACCCTCCCCCCAGCATCAAAAATCTCACTCCTCAAAGCTATGTATAGTTGTCCCTTTGTTTGAGGGGAATTGTTTTCAGGACATCTTTCTCCCACCCCTTGGATACCAAGTCTCCTGTAGTCAACCTTAGTAACCATGGATTCCCCAACCTTGTATTCAACCAACTCATGTCCCAGTCACTTGAATCCCTGAATATGGAACCTGAAGATAGAAAGAAATCCGTGTCTAAGTAGACTCTTAAAGTTCAAACCAGTATTATTCAAGGGTCAGCTGTAGTTAAGTAATTTGATTGTACCTCAACTGTGTGGCCTCCTTCTCAGACTCTTTGCCTGTAATTTAGGTTGCTGCCACTAGGTCAGCCATGATAATTTGTTTTTGTCTTCATGGTGGTTTCCAGCCAGACTTATGCTAAAATTAGGTTAACCAACCTGTTATCTGTTTTCCTACTTAGTTATCCATTCCCCTTAGCTTGCAAAATAATAAAGATGGCACTCTTTATTGATTAGGTCTAAGCATAGACATTTCAAGATGGTACTAGACAGTGCAGAAGAGTCTGTTGTACAGAAAACTACTCCCTGGGTACCACTCAGTCCCTTCACCATCAATATCAGAGACTCTGGCCCATCAGTGTGTCCCCACATGGAGGTGGCTCTTCCTTAGCAGCGGGTGACTTCAGCTCCCTAAGCAGATTGACTACCAGCTGGTACCAGCTGGTAACTTAACCAAAGTGTAAAATTAGGGTAGCCTAGCCAACTTTCTTTCTACTCAAAGAATTCTTGGCAGCAGTTAATACAATTGCCCACATATAAGGTAATCCTCCTGGATTCACAATGGGGAAGGTTTACAAAAGGGGGCTTTTCTTTAACCTAACTTGAATAGACAAAACACTGGTGTTCCACTTGGCAGTGCCTTCACATTTCCTAAGGAGAGTGAAGATAAATTTTATGTGATAAAATACACATAATATAAATTTTATGTGATAAATACACACAATATAAATTTTATGTGATAAAATACACACAATATAATTGTACCACCTTGACCATTTTCAAGACCATAGTTCAGTAGCATGAAGTACATGCTTGTCCTTCTCCACAACCTTTTTATCTTCCCAAACTGAAACTATATCCATGAAACACCAACTCTCCATTCTCCCCTCACCTCACCCCCTGAAGACTATTATTTCACTTCATGTCACTTGATTTGTCTCCTCTAGGTAACTCATATAAATGGAATCATAGAATATTCGTCCTTTTGTGTCTGGCTTATTTCATTAGGACAACATCTTGAAGGTTTGTCTATATAGAATTTCAACATGTTGGAATTTCCTTCCTTTTTAAGGCAGAAGAGTATTCTATATTTTGTTAATCCATTTGTCTGTTGATTATTTTCATCTTTTTTTCCTTACTAGACCTTTCTGTTTTGTCATATAGACCTAACCCTACCTACAGAGCATTCTCTTCCACAAAACCAACACTTAATATTCAAATTTAATTTGAATTAAAGCAAGGATGCTGAACAGAAATCTGTAGGGTTCCAGTGGTAGATTTTAACTCCTAGGCATTTGGAGGAGCTAACCCATGAAAGCATAATTTGGCCAGCACAATTTTGCCTTCAATATATTATGTATTAGTTATTGAGAAGTCTGGAAAGAATGAGGGAAGGAAGATGGGTAGAATTGAGAGATGGTTTTAGGTTTTAGTTGACTTAGAATAAGAGAGACTAAGATATGCTTTAAGGTCCGGGGGTAGGATGCTCTGAGGGAAGAGGATAAGCATGCAAAGGAGAGGATAGAGGAGAATCATTTTAGGACCTTGTCTCATTTCCCCTGCTATCTGGGTTGCTCACAGCTAAGCCCACTGCTTTCTTATCAAGACTCTCTTCCTGGATCTGTTTCAATGGGATCAATAAGTGCTCAGGCTGCAGCTTGTTAGGCTGAACACCTTTCTTTCCTTTAGACTCAGATCCAGTGTCTTAGGGATCCCATAGGCATGGAAACTCCATGCCCAAGTCACAGTTCCTCAGTACAGTCGACTCCAGTTCCTAGAACTGGGCTTACATTCACACCACCAGCCTCTCTCCTGAGGATTGGCATTGGCTTGGGTGTCACCAAGTTTCATCTGCCCAGATTCCCTCCTGGTATATGTGCCCCCCCCCCACTTCGTGATAAGCAACTGGAGCCCACAGCTGCACCAGCTGTTCTGGAGCCATTGCAGAACTTGCCACAAATCTCTGCATTCAGTGTCTTGTCCACAAACCGGACCTTTCTACCTCTGTCCATCTCGGACCACTGCCCAGGGAAATTTGGTCTTTGAGGCAAGTCCTGTGTTGTAGGAGGTGGACCCATTGCAGTGATTCTGAGCTCAGTTAAAATGGAACTAACATTTTTTGAACACAGCATTTGAACTTAGTGCTAGAGATATAAAGACAAAAAGATATGGTTATATATATATAATGTCCCTTGTCCTTGTCTGGTTCTGCCCAGACACTGACTTTGGGAATGTCTTCTCCAGGTTGTGAGAAATCAAGTCAAATATGCCAGGTACCGAGTTTTAAAGGAAAGTCCATATTTCAGCAAGGACCTCAATCGCACCATAAAATCTGTCAAGTTTTAGCATTTGTGTCTCTAACTCCACCTGAAGGTCCTGTTTCTGTTTCCTTGGTTCAAGTTTCCAGTTCAGTGAGCAGAACCGCCACTGTGTTGATAAAAGAGCATGCCTGCCGGGTCCTGCTGGAGTTGCGCAGATGTGAAAAGGCAGGTCTCTACACGACCTGCTGAATAGTGAATAGCGGCCCTCACATGGCAGAACTTCTGGGCTTAGCCTTGTAAAAGTAAAAGGTTGCACAGAGAGATATTTGTGTTCTTTCAGAGATTTCCTGTAACTTTTACAAACTGTATATTCATATGGTGAGCAGGTTGCTTTTTTGACCAGTAAGGACGGTGGCAAAAAGTGAGGCTCAAAGAGAAGCAAGAAATATTTAGATGAATTAGGGGGGAAATCCAGCTCTTAAGACAGTGTATCCTCCTTGTGTGAGAAAAAAAAATTAGACTTGTAATTAGACAAATATATACACTGCTAAGACCTGGGAATGTATGAGCTTGGATTGAGGAGAAAGGCTTTTTAGCAGATTCAGAGGAAAAAGCTGTTTTAAATGTCTGATATCAGGCAGTTAATACATGATTAAGGGTGAAACTCTCAGAGCCTTGAGAATGTAGAACACCTTAGAAATAAGCTGATATGTCAGCCACTTCAGTATACAAATGAGGAATCAGAGTCCAGCATTATTAGTAAGGCTGAGGTTATCCGTGTGGTAGGACTAAAACTCAGGGCTTTTGACGCAACTCTAGCGTTGTTTCTACAGTGCTGTTGACAGAAAAGGTAATATTAGCTTCTGAAGGGATTTCATTGTGTAAAGATGAATTAACAGAAACAAATGTGTCCTGGGCTAGTCTCCTCTGCCAACTTCATATGAAAATACCTACACATGCCTGTGTGTGTGTATCTCTTTCTCTCTCTCTCTCTCTCTCTCTCTCTCTCTCTCTCTCTCTCTCTCTCTCACACACACACACACACACACACACCCCATCCAAGAGAATCAGTAAATTCTACCATGTAGCATATCTATAGCAGAGACTTAATAAGATAGCACCCTGGTCAGATAGGCAGAAACATTACTTCTCAAGAGGTTTGAACCTGCTTTTTAACAGTTTTTCTTTGTAATTTTTTAATGTATACTTAAAAATAACAATTGGTAAGGGAAAGAGTTATAAACAAGATTGATAAGCAACAAGCCTAGCAAAAAAATAGAGAGGGACTAAAATAAGAAAAATAATCCAGAAATGTGAAATAAAAAGAAAACAATCACCTATTGTTGCATGCATTGATACATTTAAAAAAACCAAAATAAACAAACAGGGTAGTAATTCATTTAGCAAATATTATCAAGTGCTTCCTGTGCCCTGTGGACACTGTTCCGGGCAGAGGGCTTCCAGCACAGGGGCAAATAGAGAAAAACTCCTGCGCTCCAGAAAAAGATTCAAAATTCACTATCCATTAAGATACTGTTCTTAAGACCCATCTCCCCCCAGCCTCAGGTTTGGGTGGAAATTTAACTAAATTGGAATATTGGTAATATCTCCATTCACATATGGGTATGATTTTAATGAAGGTTGCTTTTTTGGTTTTTAGGGAGAAGAAAATGGCTTTCCAGACAGTACTGGAGATCCCCCTTCAGGTAAATGATTGACTCTAAAGGTGTCTGGGCTTCAGTAATAGCTAGCATGGCTCAATTAACGATAACTTGAAAATGTTTATCATTAACTTTTAAAATCTGTTATAATTAGATAAACTGCGAGACGACATGCCATGTGAATTTCAAGGAAATCTTACAAGATTTCACAAAAGCCTTTCTCTAAGGGTACCCTGTGTTGCTCATGAGGGACACAGCAGGTTCTGAATTGGACAGGTGTAGGCTTGGCTAATGGTCAGAAATGAGAGAACCCTCCCTCCCTCCAACTGAGCATTGGCAGAGAAGCTTGCGAGGTGGAAGAGAGCAATGGGATGCAGGCAAACCACAAGTCAGGGGCAACTCAGCCATCTCTGCCTCCATTCTCTGTCTGTGGCTCAGGCTCTTAGGTAACCCAGCAGCCCCTCCTGACACTGGGCCCTGTGCTACTCGCCACCCCTTCCCTGCTTTCAGTGCATTTAGTCAAAGCAACGTTCACGTATATCTCCCTCTCCCCCCCCCTTTTTTTTTTTTCCTATTATACGACAGAAACTTTGGCAGTGTTTAGATCTCTTTTCAATCAATCATGGAGGAAATGAGGAGTGAGCATTAAATTGGCTACCAAAATAATCTTTGTAAAAAACAGTAAAAGCTCTCCAGTGTTTTCGGTACCTTCTAAAACACATACTGAATGACCTAGTCATCCGGGGTTTGTTTGTTTCTTTCATTTTTCATTTTTAAGGGTGCATGTAGGGAATTCACAGCCCTCAGGGTAATCTGCCATCAACTCCAGACTGTCCAAGTCACCATGCTGAAAATCAGAACAAGTAGTACATAACCAGCTCCACCCCATCCCACCCCCAGAAACATGTTAGAAGCAGTTAACTCTGGGTGGTGAGATTCTAGGTGATTTTTTTTTCATCTAACTGATTTTTATTTATGAAAGACCCACTCTTGTCAGGCTCTTCAAGGAGGCCATGAGGCAAAAGGACAACTTTGAGCATAGAGGTTGGCATTCTGTTTACAGTTCAACCATCGTCCTGCTGTATTTAGAGAAATCAAGGGAGAAATTGGGTTAAAGGGATTTCTAGGGAGACTTTCCACCAGGTTTCACAGCTCTGACTGAATGGCTACGGTGCCATCCAGATACCCCATTAGAACTTGCCTTCCTTGAACCATACCCAGGGGCCTGGTCACTGGATAGTAATTATTCCTCTTGCACAAATGCTGCAGCTGACAAGGTCAAATGAGAGCCACCTGGCTGGGTGGAGGGGACATTATCTTGACATACAAACAGAAGTGATTTTATTTTTCTTACATTTTTAAAATTTCTAACATGAGCATCAGAAAAATCTCTCCCTGCAAACTTTAACCTGCAATACGCATGTATAAATAACACACCAAGAAATCTGTAAAAGGCCAACTGATTAGCCTGGATAGCAAAAATATGAATTTTGTGCATTCAGATGTACTCATCTGAATTTTAATATTTTCTGTAACATGAACATATTTCTCCTCTTAAAAAGTAATCTATATTCACACTTTTTAATGACTAATATTCCCCACACTGTGAAATGGAGCTAATGTGAAATGGAGCTACAATTAAAATTTATAAAGTAAGTTTTTTGGGAATATCTATAAAACCTTAAAGGACCCTTATAAGTTAGAGTCATTGTTAATTAACTTTAATCAAGTTCTGGTTAGTGTCCATTTTTTTTACTTGCATTGAAATGAAATGGATGGTTTTCAAAAATAAACCTTTCACAGTGATAGCTGATAGTATTATTGAGAACAGAAATTGTGCTGATGAAGGCAACATCTCTAGCACCTAGCCTGGTGGTTTTGCACAGAAGCATGTTGAGGTTTTTCTTTGGTCAGTTTCGGGAGTTTTTCCTAAACAAGTAAATGAGAGACATTGACCTAATGGCTTTGCTGGAGGATGAACTGGCAAGAGCAGAACCATATATTTCCTCTTTGAAAATAACAACGTAAGATTTATTTTATCTTACCATTTTACTTACGGCCACTAATTTAGCATTTACCAGGTACCAGCCTTTCTCCTAATCATTTTACAGACATAAAGTTTTTATGGTGACTTATTGCATAGGTCTAACAATTTTCTTCAGCAGGTGGTTGCAACAGAAACAGCTCTGGGTCACGTGACTGGTGCTTCTTTACCTGGGTCCTGAGTGGGTCAAGCCCAGGGCCTGCCCCCAGCTCACCCACAGCCACCACACCAGGCTGCTTCACTATGACTCAAATGCATCATCTGCGTAGCACATATGGGGAATGCTTGAGTGTGATGGTGCCCAAGGTGAAGGTCAGCCTCCCAGCTATCTCAGGCAGAGTCTTTAGCTCTAACAAAACCCAAGGCCCCTCCCACTCCCTGAAAGTCAGCCTCTGAGCTCTGAAATACCTTTCACAAAAGCTTGTTACTGTTCCCATCAGACCCTGGGGTCCTAACACAGAAACTAGCTTTTATTTAATTCTTGTGATTTGAAAACCTTACTTATCTGTGATCTAGTTTCTATCTGGATACAATGAGCAGTATAGGGAAGACAGTAGATATGGGCTCCAAGGTAAAAGAAGGATTAGAAAGAAGTGAGGAATGTGACCAAGGAAAGTACAAGAACACAAGTCCTTATCAGCTTCCACTGGAAAAGTGCCTTTTGTGAAATCATTGAGACATTCAAGTTTTTACAGTGTTTTAATACAGTTTTTTTTCAAAATGAAAACATTTGGGCACTAATGGAGTAAGGCCTCAGCTGTTTAAAAAAAAAAAAAAGAAAACCCCCAAATTGTGAAATAATATACCTCTTCTTATACTCCTGCTACTGGTGGTCATTCTCACCTGCACTGAGGCACTTTTTGCTCTTGTTCTCAATACTTGTTGGTTTTTCAAGGGTGGTTTTCTGCTGATCACACATGACTCAGACTCAGAACATGCCTTATTGAAACCTGATTTCTCCTTAGAAATGAATGTAAGAGGGGGCCTCCCTGGTAGCTGAGGGGGTTAAGTCTCAGCACTATCACCACAATGGCCTGAGTTCAATCCCCGGCCAGGCAGCTAACCCACATGGCACAGCAGACCTCTCCTGTCGTACCCGCCGCTCCCCTCAGTAGTGTTTCAGTCGATCTGCCTGTTCTGTTCCCCAGTCTGTCTCTGGTGAATTCTCTCACCTCCTATACCTTTGGCCTCCACCTTAGTTCTTCTACTCAAAGTAAAAAGAAGCGTATGTACGATAGGATTTTCATTTGTTTTCAAATTACACCCACATGACACTTTAATATATTTGTGTCACCTAATTTCAGAATTCAAATTCATGTAAATTTCTATGCTGAATTTTAACCTGTGTCCCTGACAGTTTCTTTCGTGTGGTATCTACACTTCAGTTCTGTTTGAAGACAAAACTTGAGGCCCGGCATGATTCACTGGCCGCTAGATTCATCCAGTGTGTCATTTACACTCCCCATGGCTGCTGCCAGCTTGATAGCTCCTTAAAAGGATGTTGTAGGGAGAAAATGAAATCACATTGTTTTCCCCTTCATTTATTAAGAGATCAAACGCCCACCAAAAAAGCCCTTGGGTCAGTTTCTGAGTAGATAAAAAATACTACTTCATCACTTTCCAGCTCATAATGTTTAACTAACTACCTGTGATGAATAATGTGGTGTGTGTGTGTACCCCACTGATTTATCAAAGCCGTAATCTGGCACTTTAAGTACATTTATTTCCAACCACATTGGAAACCACACACAGAAAAATGTATGACTTTACACCTTTAATAAACATAGCTGCAGAAGTATTTGACTTGACTTTGACACTCGTTGGTATTTGGCAGCCTCCAAATCTGATAATTTATAGACACCTGGGATAGAGTTATTTTATTTCAGAACCACAATAGGTTGCTATCTGCAAAGTTGCCAATATAAAATGTTTACTATTTAATTGTTTGAACTAACTCAAGACCTAGTTATCCCCGGGAACATTATTATAAATGATCTGAGAGCTAACAGTGGTGCAGAGCGCACTGGAGGCAAGCACCCATGTGGTAGGTAATAGCTCTCGAAAAACCAGAGTGTACAAGATAAAAGAGTACCTCCCCTGCAGGGAGACACATTAAGTCAATCTGTGATCCACTGCCAACATCCTGACTGGAGCCATTTTCTAGGCTCAACTAATCATGACCTTTGTGATTTCTGAATCTTGTTCCAGTTCACAATTAACTGTTAATTGACCTGGACTTCATAACCCGCCGAACTTAAGTTAGGCTCTACACTATGGACATGGGCTATTTCTTACAGTGGTTTTATTTATTTATTTTTTTAAAGATTTATTTATTTATTTATTTATACAAGCACTAGGTACAGTCAGAAGCGTGGGAGGGCGAGAGAATTCACCAGAGCCAGAGCAGGGAGCAGAACAGGCAGATTGACGAAGTACACTGCTGAGGGAAACAGCGGGTGCAGCAGGAGAGATCTGCGTGCCATGAGGGACCCTCGCCGTGGGCCAGGTATATAACCAACGCTGCAGAGGCTGCGGGCAGCCTCGCAGCCCAGCACTCAACTGCTGCACCACCAGAGGAAGCACTCTTATGGTGGTTTTAAATGATGTGGACATATCTTGTCGATGAACAAGATTATTCCTGAGCTCTTCCTTAATTATATGTGAGCATGAAGATGAGGAGTAGGGGCAGAGGCAGAAAACATCCCATAGGAAAATCCATTCATCTACTTTTGTGTACTGGGGAAACATCATCTGTCCACAAACTCCCAGTCACCGCACAACATGATATCTCTAAAAAAAAGTGACTGTGATTCTAAAAATTTAATCTTACCAGCCCCTCTAACTAAGGAGTTACTCTGTAGATGCATTTAAGGCCCTGGTTTTCAATCCTGGCCACATATTAAGATTCCCAGTGGAGATTTAAAAATTTCCCATGTCCTGCCTGCACTCCAGACCAGTTAAATAAAGACCTCACTAGATAGGACCAGACATAGGATTTTGT